GTGACACACGTGTCAGAGGTGACACGCGAACTCATTTTTTTGGTTGATTTTTTTTTTTTTGTTAAATGGCATTTAAATATATAAAATAAATATCAAAAATATACGTCTTTGTTTTACTATGGTTGCAAATATCAAAAAATTTCTATATGTGACACGGCACCAGAGTTAAGTTAGGGTTTTTCAAAATGCTGACACGCCGAGCTCAAAGGGTTCATCATCACTGCTGTAGACCTATGAACCGGGAGGTCTCTGTTGGATTCTGGTCAGGGCACATGCCCCTGTTGCGGCTCGATCCAAAGAAAGGGTTGTGCAGGAGGCAGCCTGATCAATGAGCCTTTCTCATCATTGATGTTTCTTTCTCTCTCTCTCCCTCCTCTCTTCCTTCCTCTCTGAAATCAATAAAAAAAATATTTTTTTTAAAAAAAAATCAGATTCCCGCCCAGATAGTATGAAGACTGCACTAGGGTGTGTGGTACTATCATTCAGAACGGAGCAGGGGAGGCTGGCCCTGGAGCCTCATCATTACTTTAGTTGTGTAGGCCCCAGAAGAAACAATTTCATTCCTGCTTTTCCTCCTAGACCGGTGCTGTTTCTTCTGTGCTAAAAGAAAACTATTTATAGGGAGCTGATTATAGAAGATATTTTTTTTAATAGTTCATTTCTTTTTTTTCTTTTTTTTAACGTTTTATTGATTTTTCACAGAGAAGAAGGGAGAGGGACAGAGAGTTAGAAACATCGATGAGAGAGATCGATCAGCTGCCTCCTGCACGCCCCCCACTGGGGATGTGCCCGCAACCAAGGTACATGCCCTTAACCGGAATCGAACCTGGGACCCTTCAGTCCGCAGGCCGACGCTCTATCCACTGAGCCAAACCGGTTTGGCAAGAAGATATTTTTTAATATATTTTTATTGACTTCAAAGAGGAAGGGAGAGGAAGAGAACGAGATAGAAACATCAATGCTGAGAGAGAATCATTAATCAGCCGCCTCCTGCACGCCCCACACTGGGGATTGAACCCGCCACCCCAGGCATGTGCCCTGTCCTGGTTCATAGGTTGACATTCAACCACTGGGCCATGTAGGCTTGACTATAGGAGGTACTTTTAACCAAAAATATAAATGTTAGTCTCATCACCCACAAAATGGATGTGACATTCCCCAGCTCCGCCCATCTAAAGTTGTCCCCATACTCCTCTGTCTCAGCACCGGTAAATGTCCTCCCCAGCACTAAGGACAGTCACTAAGTATTCCATCTGTTTGCCGACTTGTTCCTTGATTATCCTCTCCACTGGACTGCAGGCCCCATGAGGGCAGGACCTGCTCTGCTCTGTTCACCACTCTCAGCTCTTAGCAAAATGTCACCAAGTGTGAAGTCAGTGAACAGCTGTTGAATGAAAAAATGAGTGGAGAGAGAGTTCAGTATCATCCAAGTTCTACCAAATGCAGGAGGGGGAAATGGAATGCTGGCTGGTGTCTATGTCAAACATTCTTTTAGGAGTGAACAGAACGATTAAGTTGCCGTATGTTTTTCAATAGTGTCCAATTACAATTACTGTTCATTTACCTGTGTTCTCCTGGAAGGACTACTTAAGCCGGTTATTAACATGAAAACACAGAAATGTGAAATTTCACTGTTGAGATGGCAATTGATTTAAAATATGTCTTAATTTTACTCTCTTGTTAGATGGTTCTCCTGATAAATCTCTATAAAAGCCAAGTCCTCCCCTAATTGAGCCTAATCATAGTAGAACGATTAGTATATTGTGAAGAGCTGGGCTGAGGAGTGAGCTGAGTCCCAGCTTGGCCACTTACAGTTTCCTTCCTTTCTTCCTTCCTTCCTTCCTTCCTTCCTTCCTTCCTTCCTTCCTTCCTTCCTTCCTTCCTTTCTTTCTTAGTATATTTTTATTGATTTCAGAGAGGAAGGGAGAGGAAGAGAGAGATAGAAACATCAATGACAAGAGAGAATCATTGATTGGCTGCCTCCTGCATAATCGGGAATTGAGTCTGCAACCCAGGCATTATGCCCTGACCAGGAATCGAACCGTGACCTGGTTCATAGGATGATGCTCAATCACTGAGCTACCAAGGCCTGGTGTAAGTCAGCTTTCTTGAGCTTCCATTTCCTCACCTAATAACCCCTCCCCTCAGGGCTCTATGCCTGGCACATGCTGGACACTCAGAACTATTCAACTCCACTTCTCCCATCACCAGCCAAGAGTAGCCAAGCTACCCAAGACACCTGAGACTTATTCAAGCGACTGGTGTGGCTCAGTGGTTGAAGGTTGACCCATGAACCAAGAGGTCACTGGTTAGATTCCCATTCCTGGTCAGGGCACATGCCGATCCTCCCCCAGTACGGGGCCTGCAGGAGGCGGCAGATCCATAATTCTTTCCCTCTATCCCCTCTTCCTTCCACTCTCTCTAAAAAGCAATAAAAACATATTTTTTAAAATAAATAAATAAAAAGTTGTACAATACCAAATTGGTGAGAATATTGAGTAACTGACTGCAGGTAAGAGTATAAAACCATTTTGGAGAATATTTCTAATATCGCTAAAGATTTTCATATTCTATGAACCAGCCATTCCCCTCTACGCAAATACTCTAAAGAAATCCCTCCACATATGTACAACCAACAGATATACACAAGGATATTAGCCCAGCTGGAGTGGCTCAGTTGGTTGAGTGTCATTCTGTGCACTGAGAGATTGTCGGTGGGATTCCTGGTCAGGGCACATACCTGGGTTGCAGGTTTGATCCCCAGTCAGGACACATACAGAAGGCAACCGATCTACCTTCTCTCTCTCAGCATATCCTCAGATCTAAGCATGAAAAATATATACAGCGAAGTACTATTTACAGCAAAGTACAGTAAAATCACTCAAAGCATTTCATGAGAAAGAAATAATTACCAAATTCAGGCTCCTGGCACCCTCTGGGTGGAGCAGGAAGGGCCAAAACCAGAGGAACATTTACGTGTGTTGACAGTATTGTTTTCCAAGCTGTTTTTATTCTTTATGTCTTTTTGTATCTCATAAATAATGAAGAATAAATTTTTTAAATTTAATATACATACACTTTCACCTAATTTCACTGCTAGGAATTTATCTTACATATGTATTAGCATATGCACAAGCAGGCAACAATATATACAAAGATGCTTATTGTAGTGGTTTATATGGGGAAAACTGGGAACAACCTAAGTATGGGGACATTATATAAACACCAGCGGCCTTGTGTCACGAATTCGTGCACATGGAAAGGAAGTTAATTAGAAGAAATATTTTTATATCACTATTCACCCTTTCTCTGTAGTAGAAGTGTCAACCAATTTCACAATCGACAATGACAGATGGACACATGTGTGCGATTGGTGCCAGCGAGAGCTTTATATGTATCTCACATGTGCAAGTCAACTTGGCCTTTTATATATAGAATAAGCTTGCTTAACACTCCAGTGTGGGGTGAATTTCCCGCCAAAATATAAGATGGCTCTGTCTTTTGGTTTTGTTCCATCCACCAAAAGGGTGGATTACAAACAAATATTTGGTAATACGCAGTTACAATCGGCCCGAGTTTACACGTTTCCCACACTCCACCGCAAATCTATATGAACCGAGTTAAAGACGGCTCCCGCGGAGTACGCGCAATTCATGCGAGCCGACTTTTTATAGATATTAGAATAAGCTTGCTTAATTAGACCTGCTTTCTGATTTAGCTAAACTTTTTCCAGCCCAATGAAGCACCCAACTTCTCTTTCAGGTAATTGTCAGCAACACAGCAGTATATATCAACACAAAACAGATTATTATTGTAGATCACGCAGGGAGAACAAATGGTAAAATATTTAACTGCAGCAGTGTTTGACTATATTCTGCACAGTGAGAAAACCTGATCATTTTCAAGGTCCACCATTTCTTACTTCTCTTCAGTTAGGTCAAGTTTCTAAACTTTCTAAATCTCCGTTTTCCAGCTAATGAAAAGAAAATGGGATTCTACCAAGTCTCCTATCTACCTCCTCCAGGACTTCTGTGAGGATCAAATGAGATGAGGCATGGAAAAACACTTCACAAACATTTGATTGCAATGTAAAGTGTTTCCACCTGGCTATAAAGCAACTCATGTTCCTGGGCTGAAGAAACTGCAAGGAGGCTAGTCACTAGGGAGAGGAAGCCGGGTGTTGCTACATGACGTCATTACCCCAGGCGGTCAGACACTTAGCATATTAGCCTTTTATATAGATAGATTCAAAGCAAAATCAGAGCTAGACAACCATTTAGAAGAACTAGAGGCCCAGTCCATGAAATTCATGCATGGCTAGGGTCCTTAGGCCTGGCCAGCAATTAGGGCCAATCTGTGGGGTGATCAGGGGACCCCACTGGCATCCGCCTTGGCCGGCCTGACACAACCAGCTCGCTGGCCCCGCCCCCCGCCACCGCCCACTTTCCGGCCAGCCCTGCTCCCCACTGCCGCCACCCGTCACCTCCCTCTTCGGGGCAACCGGCAGGGCGATTGGGGTGGGGGTGGGCCCACTGGCACCCACCTTGGCTGGCCTGGGGCCTGCGGGCTGGGGGCAGCTCCTGCGTTAAGCGTCTGCCCCCTGGTGGTCAGTGCATGTCATAGTGGGCGGTTGTTCTACCAGTTGTTCTGCAGTTTGGTCGATTTGCATATTAGGCTTTTATTATATAGGATAAGCTAGACTTGTATGTCAAGACATATTCAAGTGGTGAGGGGGAGATCACAGGACTAGACCACTTATGGAAAAATATTAGATGTACACACACACACACACACATAATAAATTTCTGGGTCACACAAAACCATTAACTTCTATCATCTCAGGGAATTGAGCCTGGGTAATGAGAGGGGACTTCTGCCTGTCATTTACCCCTTCAGAGTGATTTACATTTCTGTTTTTACCATTAGAGCATATTGCCTTTATAATGCCAACAGATAGATAAATCAGTAGGAAAAGTAAATAACAGCATAAGACTCAGATGTTGGTTTACCAAGATTTTACTTTAAAAGCAAAAATCACACAAAATTCTTTTAATCGCCTTTTTATGCTGATCTCTTTGGGGAATTGATACCACTCACAGAAACAAATCCCAAAGGTGGCTGCTTTTACAGAACGATAAACAGAACTGTGGTTAGAGTAGATTGTCTGTGGCTCTTTCACAGCTCTCTGTAACAATCTGCAGAGCAGGTCACCAATATTTGCTTTATTTCAAATCATCATCCTAAAAAACATAAACTGTTTTTTCACCTGAAAGAATATGTTTTTCAGAAACAGATTCAAAGAGGAAATAAGGGCCCAAAGCGCATTCGCAGAGCGGGCCAGCACGCATAGCCCAGCCAGGGAGGTGCCCGGCCACGGGGACACCTGGTGACATTGGGCGTGGCTGCTCAGCCGGCCTGACCAGAGACACGCCTGGCCTCCGCCTTGGGGCAGCGCCGGTCCTGCTCAGCTGGCTCCCGCGCCAGGCGGCTGACATGGGCAGAGCCGAGCTGTTGGCTTCATCCCCAGAGACAGCACTTGGCTCACACACTGGACACACTCGGGGTCTGCAAAGCCGTCTTGGGCTCCAGCCTGGCCTTCCAAGTCAGGAAGTTAGTGGCTGAAAGGGAAGAGAAAGAAGCCGAGTATAGAGACAGAGGCCTGGGGGCCAGCTTACTGCAGAAGCAGAGCCCCATTTCCCTGCCAGAGCTGAACGACTGAGACCCGGAACCTCCCCACTCTGCTGAGCCCAGAGCTCTGCTACCTATACTGCATTTTGATTTACTACCGGGTACAATTTATTTCCAAAAATAAAGAGGTCAAAATTGGAGTTTGGAAATTTTAGAATTAGAGGATATTGATAGACAAGTGGCTCTTGAACATAATAATAGAACTTTTTACAACAATTCTTCCTTCTTCCATTCTATTCAGCTGTAAGAATAAAAGGCGAGGGGGCGGGGAACCACTGGCTGGTGTGGATCAGTGGTTAGGGTGTCGGTTGTGGCCCAAAGGGTCTTGGGTTGATTCCGGTCAAGAGCACATGCCTGGGTTTCAGGTTCAATCCCCGACCCCAGTTGGGGCATGTGTAGGAGGCAACCGATCAGGTGTGTCTCTCACATCGGTGTTTCTTTATCTCTCTTCCTCTCTCACTCCTTTCTGCTCTCTCTAAATATCAGTGGAAAAAATATCCTCGGGTGAGGATTAACAAAAAATAAAAGAGCGGGGGGCTGATAATACCTGCCCTCCAGAACCCCACAGAGCTGCTGGAAGGATCAAATGAGGTAACAGCCATCTTCAGCTAAGAGGCCCTTGGGAAACAAATTTATTATTTCCTTCCTTTATAATGGAGGACAGATCCAGTTCAAATATTAGTCATGTAAACAAGACCGTGTGTTTCTTTTAAAAGGAGAAGGAGGAGGAGGAGATGACGAGGAGTCCGGATAAGAAGAAGCAAAACAATGACAGCAGCAACAGTTCAGTTACAATTTAAAAAGGGAGAAACTGTCTTCAAGTGCCTGCCACTTATAAAGGAAATAGGGAGGGGGACAAAGTGGGAAGGGAAGCATGGAGAGGGAGATGCTTGTATCCACTTGTTCTGGGCCAAGGACCCAGCGTGCGAGAAGCTTCACTATTCCCTTTCATCTGCACTTCAGAATATGATGCAGGTGTTGTTATCCCATTTTACAGATCAGAAAACTAAGGTTCAGAGGGAATAAACCATTTAGCCAAGGTAGGGCAGAAACACTACTCACCAGGCTGGCCTGCTTCCAGGGGACATATTCCCTCCGCGGCCTTACCTCTGGCTCCTCCTCCTAACGTGGGTGAGCCGCGGCCCTGCTATTCTCTCTCCCTTTCTGTTGCCTTCCTTTAAAATCTGTGGTCTCTCTTTCATCCCTTGTATTACTTCCTCTGTGCAGATCCTCTGTCCTGATTTCCAGCCCCCTGGACAGTTCCCAGGTAAGATCCCCGCCTGTATAAACACAGTGTCTCTAAAAGTAGCTCCTGGCCTCGCCACTCACACTCCACCCCCTCCTGGGGGTAGCTCTCTTCTCCCCCGCCCCCCAAGCTCAAAATCAGCAGCACTTTTGGTCGTTTCTCCCCTTCCCCATATACACAATCACTCCATTATCTCAATTCTTTCTTCAAAGTATCTCTTACCTCTCACTTTTCGTTTCTACTTTTCCTCCTAACATCCCAGAGCCTTCCGTCTGCTTGGTTGCTGTGGAAGCCTCCCGCGGGCCCCTCAGGGCTCCCAGCGTATTCTGGGCGCTGCTGCCTGATTCATCTCACCCGCTACCTGCCCGCGCCCTCGCTGGACACGGCACGCAAGGCCTCCCGCAAACCAGGCCTGCACCCTAGGCTGCCGCCGGCCCCAGGCTTTCCAGGCCCACGCCCCCTCCTCCACTCTCCAGCGCCTCCGTTTAGCACAGTGGTTCTCAACCTTGGCTGCACATTAGAATCACCTGGGAATCTTGTTAAAATCCTGATTTCTGGGCCTCATCCTCCGGAAATTCTGTTTGCAAGTTCCGAGTGATGAGGGTCATGAGTCACGCTGTAGACAGGACCTCCCTTAGGTGTAAGGTTGGGCCACAGGTGGAACACATCGGGTTGCTACAATGCAGAGTAGAAGAAGAGGGGGATAAGGGAATAAGGGGCGCGGTGAGCTAGGTAGAATATGAGAGAAGAATGATGCACGATTGTCATTAATCAAAAAACACAAG